AATAAAATTCTAATGAATGTCAGCCATTGCTTTATACCTATTGTGTCATTTCTTTTTTTGAATTCCATTTAAACTTAACATTTTTCTCTCTATTCTCTCTTCCCTGTTCTTTTGAATTTTCCATCTTTTTGCCTTTCTTTACTTTATTCTGGATTTTTTCTGCAGACTTAGTTTCCTGTTTAGTTCTCTTCATGTATTTACAGTGCACTTAGGAAAAAGAGCCCATTCGTTGAGTATTTAACTTTCTCTTGTATTATTTGTTTAATCTGTGTAACTTTAAAAGTTGTCATTTCTCTACCCAAAACTTTAATCATGTGTCTTAGACATAATAAGGCTTGTTATTTAATTTAATTTATTTATTTATTGAGATGAGGTGTCTCTGTTGCCTAGGCTGGAGTGCAGTGGCACGATCTCCACTTGCTGCAACTTCCGCCTCCCAGGCTCAAGTGATCCTCCCACCTCAGCCTCCCAAGCAGAGCGGCTGGGACCACAGGCGCCCGCCACCACGCCCAGCTAGTTTTTGTATTTTTTCGTAGAGATGGCATTTCGCCATGTTGCCCAGGCTAGTCTCCAACTCCTGAGCTCAGACAATCCGCCTGCCTCGGCCTCCCAAAGTTCTGGGATTACAGGTGTGAGACACCCCACCCGGCCTGACTTGTTATTTTGAAGTCTGTTTGTAATTATTCTCCTATCCACGCATCCAGAGTTCAGGTTGGTCTTTGTTTCTGCTAGTTTTCATTTATTTTGTCCTGTGTGCCTGGTTATCTTTGGTTGTGTTTCACATGTTCTCTTTGAAAAATTGTTACAGGAATAGGCCAGGCGCAGTGGCTCACGCCAGTAATCCCAGCACTTTGGGAGCCGAGGCAGGCAGATCGCTTGAGGTCAGGAGTTCGAGACTAGTCTGGCCAATGTGATAAAACCCCATCTCTACTAAAAATACAGAAATTAGCCGGGCTGATAACACATCCCAGCTACTCGGGAGGCTGAAGCATGAGAATCTCTTGAACCCAGGAGGCAGAGGTTGCAGTGAGCAGAGATCGCACCATTGCACTCCAGCCTGGGCGACACAGCGAGGCTCCGTCTCAAAAAAACAAACAGCAGCAACAAAAGAAAAATTGTTACAGGAATAAACCAAGGACTAGATTATTAAGATGACGTTTTCTTTATCCAGAAATGACATGTGTTTTTATCTGCTAAGGGCTTTTGGACACAAACAGTCTAAACTCACTTTAATCTGATGTCAGGGATTAGAATTTTTTTCCGGGCCACCCAGATGCTTGGAAACTGGGCTGTAGTCCCTGTGAAGGCTGTTTTATTTCCAACTCACTCTCCTCCTAATGTCTAGCCATTTGGGTTTCCAGCACACGTGGTGGGGGTTAACTAGGCCACCAACTTTGGAGGGCTTTGGAATGTAACCTTTGCCCTCCTAGATGACCCACAAGGTTATTAAAGTGATTCTCTGCACCCTTTCCCAGTATATACATGGCCCCAGGGCAAAGAGAACCAGCTGTTGCAGGCTCATGTCTGTGGATTTTAGTTGTCTGTGTTTCTTGACCTGGAAGTTCTTCTGTGCCTTCTTAGTTCTCTGATGCTGCAGAAGTTCTTTTATATCCAGCATTCTTAGTTGTGCTCGGCAGGAGTATTGGTCCCAGTGACCTGGTCAGCCCTCTTCTCTCTTTTACAAAAGGGTCTTTTAAAGGATTTTAGGATAAAGAAGATGTTGGACCTTGAGAGCTCATCTATTCCAGTCTCCTTCACATCAATACAGTAGGGTTTATCAATCACCTACCTTGTACCCAGCGCTGTGCTATTTATTATGGGAATTCTGAGGAAATGCAAGATGGTAGTGTTCCTTACATTCAAGGAGTGTAGCTGGGGAAACAAGCACAAACGTAGATAATTAAGTAAAATGTCGGAGGCAGTGCTCAAGGGTCATGCAGAGCTAATGGTGTTGGAAGAAAAAAATTACAAAAAATTTAAAGATTCTGAATGACTTTTATTTGTGATTTTAGAATCAGGTAACACCTCATTTCCAGGAAAGAGAGTTGTGTATTCCATTGAGCCATGGAGAAGAAGTTGGTTTTATAGACCTAAGGGCTGAAGAAAGCAGGAGCAGGGAAAAAAAGAAAGTACCCTCACCACGTGCCAGGCACAGTTTACATACACACTTTATTTAATCCTCACAACAACCCCCGAGGTAGCTGTTACTGTTGTCTCTGTTTTACAGATGAGGAGGTTTAGGCACAAAGAGGTTTTTACAGTTAATTATCAGAGTGGTCTTCTGGGCAAGGACTTTTTCATGTATCCCTTTCTTCAGTAGGGAAATGGAAGCCCAGGAGAAGGGCTGTGAAAGTACCTGGAACTGCCTTTTGTCCTCCTGGCTGGCGCCCTGGACCGCTCCTGTTCTGTTTCTCTGGGGACTCAGGTGCAGCTACTCACTCAGTCTTCTTTGGGAGTTTCCACGCTCCCAGTTCATCTAGGCAAGGCATTGAAACTTGACTGTCCCGGGCCTCGCGAGGCCTTCTCTGCTCAGACCTACCAAGTAAACTGCCGTCCTGGAACAGCTGATGTCAGCCTTCCCCCAAATAAACAACAGTCCTCTTCACCTTAGCCTTGAGCGATGTATGAAGGGATGTTTCTGTCATGAATAATACCCCTACTCGCAACCAGTAATGCAGCTGTGCAGATAAGCTTAAGATTTCACCAAACAAAAGCTAAATAACTCACTTCCATGATGGGCTGTTCTTTTTAAAAAATAAACTATTTTTTTACAGAAAAATTGCAAAGGTAATATCGTCTCATTGTAATATCTAACATTAGTGTGGTTTATGACAATCAATGAACCAGTATTGATGTATTATTATTAACTAGATTTCATGCTTTATTCATATTTCCTTAGTTTCTACCTAAGGAAAAATGTCATCTTTGTGTTTCAGACTCTCTTCCAGGATACCTCATTACATTTAGTTGTTATGTTTCCCTCGGCTCCTGTTGCTGAGACAGATTCTCAGAGTTCTCGTTTTTGATGATCTTGACTGTTTTGAGGGGTACTGGTCAGGTGTTTTGTAGGATGCCCCTCTATCGGAATTTCTCTGATGTTTTCCTCATGCTTAGACTGGGCTTAAGGGTTTTGGGAAGGACTATCACAAAGGCAAAATGCCGTTTTCATGACATCATACCAAGTGTGCTTGATGTTGACCTCCACTGTCTGGCTGAGGTTGTGTCTGTCAGTTTTCTCCGCTGGATAGTTACTCCCCCACTTCATACTGTACTCTTCGGAAGGAAGTCATAGTGTGAAACCTAATCCTTTTTAGCTCGAAAGTAGAGTCATTATTTTAAAGTGTTTATACCATTAAAAGAAAAATCTGTTTATAAATTGTTCTCTCTATAAAAGTTTTAAAAATTGTTTTCTTCAATATTGTCAAGTAGCCAGTTTCTTGCAAGAACATTTTATATATTGTGGGGATTATTGGGCCAATTTGGATTCCTTCAGTTTTGAAGCAGTGGATTTCAAAGCTGAATAGAAAAGTCTGCAGTTTTTGCTTTTATCAGCCGCCAGACGCAGGCACAGGCTGCATGCAAGAAATCCTAACTGTTGCCCCGTCCTGTTTGGTTGTTGTGTGAACACTGGGCAGTGCTCGGCTTTGTGTTGGAAGCGTGTTTAATGAAGTCTCACAGTGCAAAACTGCTTCCTACAGAGGAAGGGTTTAATCTGGCTATTGGACCATTCCACAGAAAGCTCACTATTTAACTTTTTTTTTTTTTTGATACGGAGTCTCGCTCTGTCGCCAGGCTAGAGTGCAGTGGTGGGATACCAGCTCATTGCAACCTTCGCCTCCCAAATTCAAGCGATTCTCCAGCCTCAGCCTCCTGAGTAGTGGGGACTACAGGCGTGCGCCAGCAGGCCCGGCTAATTTTGTATTTTTAGTAGAGAAGGGGTTTCACCATGTTGGCCAGGATGGTCTCGATCTACTGACCTTGTAATCCGCCCGCTTCGGTCTCCCAAAGTGCTGGGATTCCATTTTATGTGGTACAAAGGCCTACTGAAACTTCGCCTCCTATTGAAAGTTCATCTAGACTACTAGGCTGGCTCAGCGTAAAGCTGGAGTTACATGACAGTCGAAGTAGATGACCGGGGTAAAGTTACATGGAAACCCTCCCCGTTTGCACAGCAAAAACTGAAAGAGTTTTGATGAGAAAATGAAATCATGTATATCGTGCACCACCTACTGGTTTAACACACGGCTACAGGAGTGTAGCTTATTTACAGTTTACTGCTCTTCAAACTCACAAGTCTGGGAAAAGCGGTTTTTCATTTTTCCAAAAATTGCACCAAGGTAAAGCAAAGCTTTAGTTGATGCGGGTGTGTTGTGTAGGCGTTAGCAGTACTGCCCTCACTATGCGCTCATTGGACAGTAGCGCAACCCCAAGAAAAGGATGGTTGCGGGAGAAATTGCGTGCGCTGCAAGCAGGAAGCGCCAATACCTAATTGCGTTGTGGTGATTAATTTGTGAGTCCCGCCCTAGTCGGTCTGGTAGCTAGCTTACCTCCAGCCTCCACGGCTTTCGACGACACCACCAATTCTTTGTTTTCTGAGGCTCCTGAAGGGTCGCAAAAGCGGCGGCTCGGTTTTACCCAGAAGACCGCGCGTCGGCCGCTCGAAAATTTGCATACGTTTTCTCGCCGGGGCGGGGCTGGAGGGGGCGGGGCCACGGCGCTCTCTTGAACTCCACGGGCGGCTCACCTGGGTTTGGCTACGCTGTACTGCCTTTTATTTCGTTTCTCCTCACCGAGTATTTTCCATTATAGCTGTACACAGCTCTTTTTGTGGAAGATCATCCTTCCTCGTGCTAATCTCTTTGGTCCTCCAGTCGGCATGCGCGCTCTGGACTCTCGGACTGCGTCTGGGCCAGAAATGTCGAGGCGTCCCCGGAGCGGGTGGGCGGGAGCGCTGCCCCGCAGGCCGGCCGCTAACAGGCTCCCGGTGTTTCCCGCTGCAGGTGGTTCTGCTGGGCATGGACATCCTGTCCGCCCTGGTGACACGGCTGCAGGATCGGTTCAAGGCGCAGATCGGCACAGGTGAGCTGCGGCACTTGTGGAGCGGACCCGGCCCCTTCAGACCCCCAGCCTTCCCTCGGTCTCCCGGCTTCTCCACTTAGCTGCTCCCAAACCCTCCCGGCGGCTACCTTGCCTCCCCTCCAGCCCCCTCGGCCTCCCTTCCGCTCCTCCCAGTCAGTCAGTCCCGGCCCTCCCCCGCAGCCCCCGTAGCACCCGCAGCCCCGGCCGGCCGCCCCGCTGCCTTCCCTTCCCGCTGCGCTTCCTGGCCTCTGGCCCTTCCCCTTCCCCATACCTTGTACTGGCTTCACTGTGTTCTCATACGGAAATTAGTAATACGTGTTCTAATAGGAAATATTAGTGCCATTTTTATATCTTATGCTAAATTAGCTGTCACCCTTTGTGCCAACCAAGTCATATTTGACCCTGACCGCGGTCCCCTTTAATGAGAGGCGGTTTTCTTTGAGAAATCCTGTAAAACCAAGCCAGTTGTATTTTTCCCCAGATGACTATGGTTGGCATTACTATTTTCATCCTGATTGTAAATGTCATTACAAGTGTATAGTAAACGTTCACTGTTATTCTGAAGGAAAAACGATGTGTCAGCAAAATGGAACAAACCCCACAGATTTCATAGATTTAAATACCTCTAAATTCCTGACCTCCGGTGTTTCATGGGGGCAGTAAGCAGCTCTATGCAACCATTTCCTTATGGAATTTCTCTATTTTACATTGGTACACATGTATTCTTTTCTGTTAAGTTTCTGACCAATATGCTCCTTCTGAAAAGGTCGTGAGCTATTTTCCCATTCTAGCACCGACTGTTTACAAATTTTTTAAAAAAAACCTTTACTTTTAGAAATTTGATATTTTAATAGGGTTCCATTTACCTCCTAAATTAGCTGAATTATTCAGGGATAGCTCTTGTTATAGAGGCTTGCAAGCTCTTAAAATAAGCTGATCTCTGGTCTATAGGTGCACTTGGAGCACTGGTGGGAGGGTCCACACTGGGTAGGTGGGGGAAGATGGACAGCTGGGCTCTGTCTCATGTGTGTTTGGGTGTGATGTAAAACTAAAAATACACAATGTTGATGAAATGTAAGATTATTCATAAGTGCCTACCCCTTCCACCCCCAAACACATATGCTGGAGCCCCCTCCTTGTCTTTTACCTAAATTTTCCTTTCTATTGACTCTTCCTATCAAGGTCTTCAATTTTTATCAGCTTACAAATACGTTTGGAACTGGCTGGAGGAACGTGGGGTAAGGAGGAAGACAAATAGTATATCTTTCCATGCAAAGGATTTTGCAGACTCTTTTGGTGACTCTCATGGATTTCAGCAAGGAGAGTAGAGCTGTGAGCAAAGATGAGTGGTTTTAGGAGGAGATACATCATTTGGGTCAGGGGTTTGTCTTCCCACATAATTGAAATAGCAGTACTTGGTGACCGCAGACCCCCAAATAGGGTTTCGTTTGATCAGTTTCCGTTTTGATTTTCAGTGCTGCCAAGTCTAATAGACAGACTAGGAGATGCTAAAGACTCTGTGAGGGAGCAGGACCAAACTCTGCTGCTAAAGATCATGGATCAAGCTGCTAATCCCCAGGTAGGGGCAAGAGATGTGTTTTGAGGTCAGCTGGCCAGTGCGCATGCATGCAGTTGCGAGGGTGTGTGTGTGCTTGCACAAACGGTGTGACTCCATAGACTTAAGCTGATGTATTACAGATAAAAATTTTCACAGCATTCAATCTGTTTACTCATGCAAGATAGTTAAATAAATAAGTCACAAAAGTATGAGATGAATAGTGGATTTAACATGGGGGTATTGAATAAATTAGTGAATCTAATATACTTAGTTTTAATCCATTAGACCCTTCAGCTCATTTATGTAACCGACTCTCCAGTTGTCTGAAAAGAGGAAGCCGTGGTGTCTGGGAGTCAGGAGGCCTGGCTGGAGCCCTGGCCCCTGTCTTCTGGTTAATTGGGGCTGCTGGGATGGACCGAAACAGCCTTGCCTTCCCAGCTTCCACTGTCCTTTATTGGGAGGTGATGAGAAAAAGCAGAGGGCAGTGTGAGTATGTGATCTTTGGCAACTCACTGGCTCTTTTGGCCTGGCTTTCCTCACCCATAAAATGAGGACAGTTGTACCTCCCTTTTAGGGTTCTTGGGAGAATTAAATGCTTGTGTAAATGAATGTGTTTTAAAAATTATAATTTAGTATACTTGGTAACATGATAGATGTCATCATTTTCCAGTATGCTCTTGAGAGGATTAAATGTGTTGGTAGAGGATGGGACTAATTTGGTACCCGTTAAGAGGCTTGCCTTCTGAGAGGCTTGCCTTAGTGACAGCTGCAGCAGTCTTCTCCTTTCCTCACCTGTTCTTTGTCATCTACAGTACGTATGGGACAGAATGCTCGGAGGCTTCAAACACAAGAATTTCCGTACTCGAGAAGGCATCTGTCTCTGCCTTATAGCAACACTCAATGCGTAAGTCTGGGATGAGCCTGACATTTTTACCTGGCTGAATTTTTTTTAACTTTTTACTTAGAAATAATTATAGATTTACAGGAAGTTGCAAAGAAGTGTAGTATGAGGTCTCACACCCCCTTTACCCACCCTTGCCCAGTGTTAGCACCTTGAATAACTATAGTACAGCATCAGTCCCAGAACATTGAGATTGATACAATCCCTAGAACTTGTGCAAGTGTCTCAGGTAAACACATGTGCATTTGTGTGTATATGTAACTGTACAGTCACTGCAGGGCTCCCTCATGCTGCCATGTGTAGCTACATCCTGACCCCTGGCAACCATGAATCTGTTTGAATTTGCACGAATCTGCTCTCCCTGCCTATGATTTTGTCATTTCAAGAGTGTTATGTAAATGGAATTATACAGTATGTAACCTTTTGAGTTTTATCTTTTTTTCACTCAGCATGATACCCTTGAGGTTACACATCACATTGATAGTTCATTTTCTTGCTAAATAGAATTCCTTGGTATAGATGTATCACAGTTGGTTAAACTATTCACCTGTTGAGGAACATTTGGGTGATTTCCAGTTTTTGGCTTTTATAAATGAAGCTGCTGTGAACATGCATGTACAAGTTTCTACACGAACATAAGTTTCCATGTCTCTTGGATCAGTGCCCAAGAGTATACTTGCTGGGTCATTTGGTAAGTTCATTTTTAGTTTAAAAGGTACTGCCAGTTTTTTCCCCGGAGTTGTCCACACTGTTTTACGTTCCTACCAGCAACGTCCGAATGATCTGGTTTCTACATACCCTTGCTAGCCATTGGATGTTGTCACTTTTTTATTTTAGCCATTTTTATATGTGTGTAGTAATACCTCATTGTGGTTTTAATTTGTATTTATCTAATGGCTGTTGATGGTGAACATTTTTTTCATGTACTTATTTTTAGGAGAGGCTTTTTTAAAATTATAAATTTCAAGACTTTTTTTCTGGTTATGAAAATAATACTGTATATATCATAAAAATTTACACAAGGAAAAAATAAAGATTACTGTAATTCTGTTACCTTCAGATAATCATTTTATCCTAACCTGTAAAGTTATGTTATTTTTAAAAACAAAATTGAGATTGTAATGTTTATATTACTTGTACATTTTTTCCATCTTAATATGTTAGTTTTTAAAGTGCCATTAAATTTGGCCATATGTAGCTGAAGCTTTAAAAAAAAAAAAAAAAAAAAACAAACCTCTAGCCTTTGATCACAGTAGCTCCAGTTTTAGGAATTTATGGTAAGGTAGTAGGCAGATTAACCAAGAGATTTTTATTCACAAAGGCCATTTGTCATGGCAGGGATGGTGATGGTGAAAATTGTAACTCAAATGTGCCCCAGTAGGGTAGTACTTGGCTCAGATGTGCCCCAGTAGGTAGATGCTCTGATTTGATTGCAGTCTTTTCATCCAGCGGTATTGCCTGACTGTCTACCGTAGCAGAGGGCTCTGCCACAGCACATGGGAGAGTTAAACAAGGTCCCTCCAGTGACTCGTAGTTGGCTTACAGTGACAGAACAGCACTGCAGAGGCAGCACCTGTGAGGCAAGCGGGACCCGGGGTGCTCTGGCCCAGCGTTAAAGGGGTAGGGCCAGATTGGCCAGAGCCCTGGGGGACAGGAGGAAGACTCACCTGGGAGAAGCCACCCTAGGTTTTGAACTCTGTGCAAAGGGGCCATCGGACACATTTACTTTGGAGCCAGTGTGGATGGGATGGAGAGAGACTTGGTATGAGGTGGTGGTGGGGATTGGGGAGACACGGGAAGGGCAGGTGTGGGCAGACAGGCGTCTGTCTTTCTTCAGTTCTCACTAACAAGAAAGCACTCCTTTTGTTTTCAGCTCTGGAGCTCAGACTTTAACACTAAGCAAGATTGTGCCACATATATGCAACTTACTTGGAGATCCAAACAGCCAGGTGAGTGAGAAGGAAAACCCGCGGGGGAGGCCATTGCTTACAGACTGTTGAGATGCATTCTGGTGCTCTGTGTATACCCAATAGGTGGGTGGGACTGGAGTCCTAATCTTCATAGAACAATGATTTTTTAAGAGATCCAGTACCCATTAGCATTTATAAAATATTTATACATTTAAATATATAAAATAAGTTTGCGTTTAAGTTTAAAATTGGTAAATGTGGTGGCCACTCTGCGCTCTTCCATACACAGGGCTGAGAAATCAACTAGCCTAGAAACTGATGTTTTCCAGACCAGCCTCCAAGATAAGATGTCTGGCCACCACCTCTGCAGCCAAAAGGGGTGGTGCCGGGGGTTGTGGTGCAGAATCTGCTGAGGTGGGGGAGAATGATTGGAAGAGGGTCTGAGGGGACTTTTCTGAGGTGATGGGAATGTTCTACATTTTGCTTTGTGGGGGTGGCTCCACTGTGTATATCATTGTGGAAACTCCTTGAACTCTGAACCCTTAAGAACTGCAGATATTACCTAAATTAACGAAAAGTACCACTTCTTTAGTGTGAGGGTAGGAGAGGAGCTGGCTGTCTCACCTGTGAGTTACCAGGCAATTCAAAAGTTGTACAAGTCTGGGCTGGAGAAGTAGCATTGAACTCTCCTCCCGGTTCAATGCTATTTCTCAACCAGAGTCATTTTTATTATGTCATCTCATACAAACTGATAAGAATGATACTTCATTAGAAGAAGGGACAGAAAGTGGAACAGTAATTTACAAGATAAATATATATGGGCAGTGGCCTCTCTGTGAAATCTTGGTTGATAATTGCTAAGTTACCCTCCCAGGAGGCTGTATCAGGCTGGCCTTCCACCCAGCCTCCCCTGGCCTCTAGCTCCCCTGAGTCTGCACCCCTCCCCTCCTGCTCTCCAGGCCCTTTCCTTACCTTGCTCTTAGTTCCAGCAGCAGTTGTCTCTCCCTTCTCTTTGGCTGTTGTGCTGCTCCTTCCACTCCAGCCTCTCCCCTCCTCACTGCCTGTCGTCTGCTGTCTCCCTGCTTGCTTATTCCACTCATGCCGTTTTTCAGCCTTTGTTGAAAATATATAGCATTAGGCTGGGCATGCGGTGGCTCATGTCTGTAATCCCAGCACTTCAGGAGGCCAAGGTGGGTGGATCACTTGAGGCCAGGAGTTTGAGACCAGCCAGGCCAACATGGTGAAACCCCATCTCTACTAAAAATACAAAAATTAACCAGGCATGGTGGCGTTCACGTGTAATCCCAGCTACTTGAGAGACTGAAGCACAAGAATCACATGAACCTGGGAGGCAGAGTTTACAGTGAGCCAAGGTCGTGCCACTGCATTCCAGCCTGGGCAACCCAGCAAGACTTTGTCTAAAAAAAACAAAAGAAAAGAAAAGGAAAATACATGGCATTGGAAAGAAATGCTTAGGATTTTTCTTTTTTTTTCTTCTAAGAAAGAAAAAGGCGAAGTCTCGCTCTGTCACCCAGGCTGGAGTGCAGTGGCGTGATCTTGACTCACTGCAAGCTCCGCCTCCCGGGTTTACGCCATTCTCCTGCCTCAGCCTCGCGAGTAGCTGGGACTACAGGCACCTGCCACCACGCCCGGCTAATTTTTTGTATTTTTAGTAGATACGGGGTTTCACCATGTTAGCTAGGATGGTCTCCATCTCCTGACCTCTTGATCCGCCCACCTCGGCCTCTCAGCATGCTGGGATTACAGACGTGAGCCACCACACCCGGCTAGACATTTTTATTTACTTAATCATACATTATATTCAATGTTAATTTAAAAATAAATGGAACTATTTTTAAAAAGATTCTAAATTACCAAATAGATTATTGTTTTGTACCCTTCCCCCTTTGGGTTTTGTTTCTGTTTTTGTTTTCTGTGGGAAAAATCCTTTGTAGAGGCGGCACTCTGGGGGTGTGGCTGCTGCCACGTGGAGTGCTCTAGCAGAACAGAAAAGCCAACTTGCTGAGGTGATTCTATTCTCTTTCAGTTGCTGACTTTGGCCAGACAGGTGATGTGAATGTTCACACTGCCTGTGGAGATCTTAGAACCTGGGGTGGGTGGTGCGGGGCTGGCTCCTCTAAATGCACTTCTGCGGTGGAGGCAGTATAAAAACACAGGCCAGACCTACACCGTCCAGAACGACAGCAAGGGACGTTGTCTCGAATCCGGTTTGGGGAGGGAAGCACTGTATGGCTGTGCACCACACTGCAGTCCATCCCACAGGGTCCCCTCACTAACCCCTGTTTCCCCTTCTTCCTCTTTTTCTTCCACATATATTTAGCGAGAGCTCGTGCTGTGGGCCTGCCTTGTCTGTCTGGATCCTTGGGCTTTTTGGGGAAGGGGATGGAGATTACTAGCTTAATTTTGCTTCTGAGACTCAGATTTTGCTTCTGTGACTGAGGTGGACCACATCCTCTAGAGGAAAGTGAAGGAATGCCTCGTTGTCCTAGGGCTCGTCACTGATGTATAACCTCAGTATTTCCCTGCCCAAAAGATCATGTATTCGGTGTAGATTTTAAGAGACATTGGGAGTGGAATGTAAGCACATTTAATATTTTGAATGGGCCCATTCTCATCCTTGAAGCTATTCAGGTGAGCCTTGGAGAGTACCTTACTCTTCACAGGGTTTCCTTTTCCCTGAAGTTCTCTGCTAGAGGAGGCCTCACTTAAAGGTTCCCTAAAGCTTCGGTAGAAAGGAGACAGGTAGGGCCTAGTCTGCTTTTGTGTTGGGCTACTCTCTGATACTATTTTTTTCCTTTAGATCTAGAGTTAACTTGTAAGTTCTCTAGGGATTTTAACAAGATTTCCTTTATTTTAGAAGTACACAGATTAAATTTCAAACGATCAGCACAATCCCACATTCTCAAAATGTTGATTCAGTTGTTTAAGAATTTAAGATAATGTTGAGTCTTTAACAGTTTGACATACTGTTCTGAAGTTGCCAAAAGGCAGAGTATGTTAAATATTAATACTTGAGCTACCTGACGCAACGTAAGATACCTAAGTTAAAGGCATAGATCCCTGCTTTGTATGTAATAGCTGACCTTGGGGTCACTTGGATCTTGAGCCTCAGTTTCCCCTTTAAAGTGGAGGCAGTGGTAAGTGCCCCACCCCTCAATCCTTATGAGAGTCCTTGCAAGTGAGTGTTCTTAGGTGCTGGTGTGACCTGTTGGTCCAAGTAGAAGACTCTTCAGAAGGCCAAGTTACTCAGTAGTCTCCTCCTCATCTGAGATGGCCATTTTCATTTGCAGAAATCGTGCACCTACCATGTGCCAGTGGGTTTCTGAGAAACTCAGGTGTATAGTGCTTTAAGAATATGAAAAGCCTTAATTGTAGGATAGCCTTAATGTCTTGAGATGTATTTGTGATACTGACATAGCCATACTTACCCCAAACATTGGCAGCCCTGGAGTAGACCGTGCACATACTGCCACATACCAGACACTAGTTTCACTACCACAAATCAGGTGCTCCTGACTGATTGTGGGTAATAGTAATAATACAACTGAAAAACAAAAGTAGTACATTTAAATGGATCACATCTTACTGCTGTATAAATCACAAATAGATTGTATAATTTTAAAAAATAATTTATGAAGAAACAAAGAGATAGTTTTTAAAAATAAGATAGAAAATATGAGACTTGTTTAGGTCAAAAATTCAAGTTAACACTTCTTGCCTAGTATCTTTAATGGCAGTTATACTTTTTGTGCCAGGAAGCCCTAGGCTTTGGCCAGGAGTTTGGAACCTATAGTGGTTTTGTGGGTTGAGTTCTAGGCCTGTGTGTCTGCTTTTGAGAAAATTCTTATTATTTGTTTTGTTTTTTCATTTCCCCCACCTCATCCGTAAAATGAGATTGTTACTCTATGGGCAGCTTTCAGTATTCTGTAGTAGACAGGATTTACGGCTAGAGTATTCCAAACTGAGACTCTGAAAATAATCCATATATTCACATGTGCCTTAGGAATGGTTTGTCCGCACATATATTTGCACACATAGACACGCTCATACACAGACATACAGTCAATCCATATCTCTCTTCTGCCAGGAAGTTCTGCCATCCACCTCCCCGATACTAACCAAGTTAATTATTCCTGCTTCTGGGGTTCTTGTGTAGCTTGCATGTGCTTTTGCTGTTGCCTTTATTTTAATTTTTTTATTAATCTTTCCTACTAGTTTCTCATCCTCTAGATTTAGGATTATAACTTGTTCCTCTTTGCAGTTCCCAATGCCCCATAATTATTTGAATAACTTTCCTTTATTTGCCAAGTCTCAGACCAGAGGGGACACTGTTGTATCAGCGTTGTCTCTGCCCTCAGGCGCCTGATCTAGTGGCCAGCCTCCAGCTCTTCATTTCCATACAGCCAGTGTGTGGAGAATCCTCTCAGCTCTTTGGGCAGTGGCTAACAGAGACTGGATTTGGTGGTTAAAATTAACTCGGCAAGTGTTCGTTTCTTAGTGGTCTGAGTGCAGTGACTCAGAGCAGGGAAGCCTTTCAGAGGGGGCCACAGGTGCACAGTGTGTGTGGGCTAGGATGCTTTTGGTTACAAGTGACTGAAAGCCCAACTGAGAATCATTAGAGCAGTGGGGAAATGTGTCATTCTGCATGATGACGGGTCCTGACATAGGAAGTTTCCGGGATCTGCCAGTAGCTCGGAGCCGGAGTCTCAGGCATCTCAGGCTGTGTGTGTTGCCCCCTGGAGCTCTTAGCACAGGCACAGCACAGGTACAGCTGCCGTACGCATGCACAGTTGGCCTGGCAGAGGGGAGGCGCTTCCTGAGCTCCTCTTCTGTTTTCAACTTTCATATTGAAAGGTTCAAACATACACATAAGTAGTGATAGTGCCATAAAGCGTCCCCATGTGCCATCAGCTCATTTGACAAGGCCAGTTCAGTTTTGCCTTTTTTCCCTCCTGCATCCCATTATTTTGAAGCAAAAGTTGGATTATTTTGAAGCAAATCTTAGACCACATTTGTTTAATTCTTAAATATTTTAAAAGATAGACTTTTTTTTTCCTTCAAAAACATAACCTTAAATAACATTGTCACCTCGTGTGCCCCAAGAATCAGCAGTTCTCTCCTATCGTCAAACACCCAGCTGGTGTTCACTTTTCCCTGAATGTCTTTTTCCAAGAGCAGAGAAATGTTTTCCAGAAGCTTTCCTACAGACTCCCATCATGTTTCATTGTTGGAGAGTTGCGTTCCATGCTCCTGTGTGACCCAGCTGCTGGGAAGGGATTAGAATTATGTGACGGCCATACACTAAGGCTGTCCCTCCTGAGCTGAGAGAAGCTTTTCTTCCCGGAGGTGTGGATTTCAGTACAAAGTCTGTGCTTGTTGATGAGGACAGGGCAGTGGCTGTAACAGAGGTAGCCGGTGGTCCAAGGCATCCTGACACTAGGAATTCCCTTGACTAGATAAGAAAAGCCTGAGTTCTGCCTGAAAGCTTTTGATTTCATCTTCACAGCACCTCACCTCCCTTTTTGCAGGCAGGCTGGCAGAGGGTGGCATCCAGTGGGCCTCCCCATGCTGACTGCTGGCCCTCTTGTTGAGTTAGGTCACGTTTTCAAAGCCTAAAACATCTTGAAACATATGATGACCATTGCTCATTCCGTGCTCTCTCCAGCTAGACACAGCTCAGGAGGACGGAGGAGCACCTCTGCTGCCGGCTTGCCAGAGCTCCCATGTGGCCCGCCACAGTTGTAGCCTGGGAGCCGGGGTGAGCTCTTGGGCCCAGCTGTGTGGGGTGCTGGGGTACCCATGCTCCAAGGCACTGGCTGTGGGGCTGTGCTGGGTTCTAGGAGGACAGGGTGGGTTTAGGGTCTCATCAGTTTATAGACTGCTTCCCTGTCCCGCACCCTAGGGCGGAAGCCTTCCTTTGAGTTTTTTCCTTTGCAGGAAGCCCTTATTTTGGCATCTGCATTAAGGTGCGGTGTGCTGGTAAGAATGTTGGCTTGCCCCAGAGAGGTAGGATTTTGGACCCCAGCCTGCCATTCCTGCTCTGTGGGCCTTGGGCAGGTGACCAACCTTGCCAGCCTCTACGCCCTCCTCTGTGCAGTGACCATGAGGAAGGAAGGAACAACATGGTCGGACGTTGGAGACCTTAGATTCTGTAAAGCACGCGTATGAGACCTGGCAGAGCGTGCTGCCTGTATGGGGCTCTTGTCTTTTTGCGGTCTTCATGGCCTGACACGTTGCGGTGCCTTTCTGGGGTGTGCCTGAGGGCTCAGCAGGGAGAGGCAGTGCGAGACCAGTGAGAGCCTGTGTAGAAGCGAATAGCTGCATTGTCCTTCAGTCTCGGCTGAATGGCTTTCATTTAAACCTCTTCTCTATTAGAGTGTCCTACTTTGCAGTACCGAAGAATATCTGTTCATCTGCAGTTCTTCAGTAAAGAATAGTTTAGACCCCTAAATGCTATCTGACCCTGTAACTTTCTAGGTCTAAGGAACAATTATTTTAAAGGATAAAGATACTGGTTTAAAAGATGTAGATAACACTAGCCATTGTGTTGATTGCTTTATAGGTACAAACTATAGGCCACAAACTGCTGGCGTAAAGCTGGTTTCAGCCTGTAGATGTGTGGGTGTGTGTATGCTTGTGCCTGCAGAGTGTTTTAATTTTATATTTTGAATTCAAATGATTTTATATTTGGGAGATTTATATTTTTAACTTGTCTTGAAAGAATAGAAGGTCTGGTACAGCTGTGCTTCCATTCCTCTGTGGCCGGGTGGTGCTGGCCCGTCCGCCTGAACCTCTGCACCTTATCCCTCTTCTGTCCCTGCCTCCAGGGTTTCCTGCCAGTGCCATTCGTCACCCTGCACTCAGCCTGCTGCAGTCATTCACTCCTCATGTCACTGCCTGGCCTGTGTAGGCGTTTCAGTTCATTTTCACCTAGTAGGCCTTCAAATATTTGTTGAATGAAACTGTTATTTCTTCCAGTCCTCAGAGCAATCCTCAATTTACAAAGGAAGAAATTGAGACCAAAGGAGTTCTAGTGTTTTGTCTAAGGTTACACAGCTCCCTAAATGGCCAAGTAGGTCCTTAAGTCTACTTATTAATAATTCACTCTAAAGCTAGTAATTTTTCCAGTAAATCTCTTAAACGTTTATGGCCCAGACTTTCTAAGTAGCTGACTGGGTATTGATTGTTCTTTAAAGAGATCACCCATTGAGATTTGCTCTGAGCAGATGTGTTATCCCTAGAAAATAAGCAGTGGTGATATACTTTAATAATAATATTCAAGTTATAGTAGCATTGACTACTTCTGTAATATGTGCATTTTTCTTTTTTTGTTTTTTTTGAGACAGCATCTTGCTCTGTCACCCAGGCTGGAGTGAAGTGGTGTGATCTTGGCTCACTGCAATCTCCACCTCCTGGGTTCAAGCGTTTCTTGTGCCTCAGCCTCACAAGTAGCTGGGACAAACAGACAGACACCACCATGCCTGGCTGATTTTTTCTTTTTATATTTTTGGTAGAGACGGAGTTTCACCATGTTGGCCAGGCTGGTCTCCAACTCCTGACCTCAAGTGATCTGCCTGCCTCGGCCACCCAAAGTGCTGGGATTACAGGCATGAGCCACTGTACCCGACTGCATTTTTCAATGTAAAAATGTTTCCTAACATTAGAAATTACTTTTTTTTTTTCCCCCCAAAATAAACTGATAATCTGTGTTTGTCAGCTCTGGCTGCCATAACAAAAAGCTGTAGACTGAGTGAGTTAAACAACAGAAATTAGTTTTCTTACAGTTTTGGAGGCTAAGTTCTGGTTGGGGCTCTCTTCCTGGCTTGTAGATGGCTGCCACCTCACTATGTGCTTATATGACCTGTTCTATGTGCCTACACAGCTCTCTGGCTTCTCTTATGAGGACACTAATCCTCTAATTTTAGGGTCCTGCCATCATGACCTCATTTAACCTTAATTGCCTCCTTTTTTTCTTTTGTTTTTTGAGACGAGGTCTCCCTCTGTCACCCAGGCTGGAGTGCAGTGGCGTGATCTCAGCTCATTGCAACCTCTGCCTCCCAGGTTTAAGTGATCCTCCTACCTCAGCCTCCCAAGTAGCCGGGATTACAGATGTGTGCCACCAAGCCCAGCTAATTTTTGTATACTTTAGTAGAGACGGGGTTTCACCATGTTTGCCAGGCCAGTCTTGAACTCCTGACCTCAAACTCGCCTGAACTCGAACTCCTCAACTTGAACTCGCCTGCCTGGGCCTTCCAAAGTGCTGGGATTATAGGCATGAGCCACCATACCCGGTTACCTTCTTTTTTAAACAAAAAAAAAGCCTGAGTCTTGCTTTGTCTCTGAGGTTAGAGTGCGGTGGTAGGATTATAGCTCACTGCAGCCTCCAACTCCTGAGCTTGAGTGATCCTCCTACCTCAGGCCCCCCAAGCAGGTGGGACTGTAGGTGAGTACCAACTGGCCCAACTAATTCAGAAAAAATTTTTTTGTAGAGTTGGGCGCTCACTTTGTTGCCCAGGCTGATCCCACACCCCTGGGCTCAAGCTGTCCTCCCACGTTGACCTCCCCAAGCACTGGGATTACATGTGTGAGCCTCTGTGCTCGGCCCTTAATTGCATCCTTATAGGCCTTATCTTGAAATATGTTAGAGAGTTAGGGCTTCATCATTTGAATTTTGGGAGCACACAGTTCAGTCCATAGCATGAGGTTTTGGGGGACAAGATAATGTAGCCTAAGATTTGCCTTTTTCCGCTGGAAGAGATAAAAATTATGAGTAAAGTTACCTGTCATGTAACACTGCTAAATCAGAGGGCTACCTTCAGTGTTTCAAACTGTAAATTTTTGTTTGTATTCCTACTTCTTTTCTCTCCATTCTGCACTACCTTGATGTTGTACTCCCATCTTTGCTTACTGAATTAAGCACAGCCTCCCCCAGTACCACCTGGCCTTGGTTCCATTTTATATTTTAAAAATGTTTTTCTTCCTACCTTTTTATTTGCAGTTTTTTTTAACGTACAGAGAAATTGAGTGTATTTACCAGTTAACATTTGTCACATTTGTTCTGTATCTGTGTGTATACACATACATACATATACAGACACACACTTTTTCTTGAACCATTGGAAAGTAACATGCAGATATAATTATTTTTTTTTTTTAGTTTTTTTTTTTTTTTTTCTGAGACAGAGTCTCGCTCTGTTGCCCAGGCTGGAGTGCAGTGGCACGATCTTGGCCTACTGCAAACTCCGCCTCCTGGGTTCTCCTGCCTCAGCCTCCTGAGTAGCTGGGATAACAGGTGCATGCGCCACCGTGCCCGACTAATTTTTTTGTATTGATAGTAGAGACGAGGTTTCACCAAGTTGGCCAGGCTGGTCTCGAACTCCTGACCTCGTGATCTGCCTGCTTCGGCCTCCCAAAGTGCTGGGATTATAGGCGTAAGCCACCGCGCCCAGCCTATAACGATATTTTAAACCCTACACATATCAGTGTGTATCATTTAATAACAAGGATATTTTCTGATATAAACTTGTCATTTTTCTCACCCTGGAAATTTAACATTGATACAGTGATGTGTAATATACAGTCTGTATTCAAATTTTCCCAGGTTAAAAAGAAAAAATCTACCCTGTCTCTCACACCTTATTTCGTATTTCATGCTGCTTTCTTAGTTTGTGTCTGGTCTGGCCAGACTGGTGTACTTCCTCTTCCTGAAGCATGTGCCGTACATGTCTGCTTTCGTGCCTTTGCACAGGCTGTGTCTTATTCGGAATCCGCTCATTCCATCTGGACCTGGTGAAATCCTGCTGTTCCAAGCACTTTGCAGTGGTTTTTCCTCATGTGGCATCCCTTGACATCCCCTAATGTGTTTGCTCCCTTCTTTAAACCGCAAGCTCTTTATGCTCTTGAATAATGTCTATTGCATCATGCCCTGTAATGAATGTAGAATTTTAGGACTTTTTAAAAATCTCCTTCTTAGGACTAGGGGCTTCTTGAGTATGGAACTTCATATAGCCTGTACTCTCCATTTTTGTTGCTCATTAAGTATTTGTTTAGTTGACTTAAACCCAGAGTGTTTCACATGGTATTTTATTTTTAGTATAATTTATTTATTTTTAGTGTTGTTTCTTAATTTGGAAAGATGGTCTGAAAATTCCAGTTTTCTGAAATTATCTCAAAGAATGCAAAGAACTAAGGATATGGACTTTACTGTGTATATAGGGATGGGGGTCCCACAGTTTTACTACCCTTTGACATTTTATCAGCAAAGTGAAAACTGTCAAACATGGCTTTCTCTAGACAAATGTATATAAGGATTGTATTCACAGTTCCACTGGTAAAATGGTGATAAATTGGGGTGGTATATGGCCTGTTGTATCCCAGCAGGACTTGCTGGGGGATGACACAGAGCAGCTGTAAGATCTCTTCTTTTATATCTAGGTTCGAGATGCAGCAATAAACAGCTTAGTGGAAATTTACAGACATGTAGGAGAACGTGTGAGGGCAGATCTCAGTAAAAAAGGATTGCCACAGTCCCGGTGAGTGCAGATTTTTTGCTTTCTTCTGCTCTACCCCCCATTCTTTTCCAGTTAATATCTTGATTTGCAGTACTTTTTCTGTTGTGGTTATTTTATTCAAAGAATATACGGTTAGAGGGTAGTTGGAGATTTTCTCCAGATCATACATCAGGGGTCCCCTCCCATTCCACTTCCTCAGAAATGAGACTTTCTCACCCAGACTGGCCAGGTCCCATGCCACATACTGATTTTAAAAGCAATTGGTATTGAAAAATTCAGCACTCTTACAGTTTTATGGTTCTATATCTAAGATTCTGTATCTATATCTGTACAGACAGCACTTAGTATAGTAGGTGCCTAGAATACATTTGAATGAATGAAGCCATTCCAGGATGTGTTTGGATAAAAATTCATAAGTTATAATTTTAGAAATCATGTTTTAAATGTAACTTTCTGTTTTCATGTCATTCTCAATGTGTATAATTCCATGCAAAGGGATCAGCGTCTCATCAGACCCAAGACAACTGGAGTCCAGAAATGTGACTTTGTTATAGTCCAAATTTTTAAAATAGTGTAATGATCAGATATGTATAATTTTAACTGTGATGGAGAAACTTAACACCAAATTAATTCCAAACTTTTACCCTGGGTCATTCCTTTAAGGGGGAAAGTAGTGTTAAAATTCCAGACAGAACTGGAGTGGACTCACAGGGCAGCTTATCTGAGCCTGTCATTTTGTCTATGCAAACCCCAGAGGCCTAGAGACATGAAGTGACTTTTGAGAGATTACACAGCTACTAAGAGTCAGAACCAAGTTCAAAATCCTGTTCTTCGGACTTGCCTTTAATTTTCTCTGCCCTGTTTCACAAAATAGTTGATGGCGTACTGGGCATCTAGAAATGGTATGGAATACTGAAATATACAGGAGTTAACTGTCTTGATGTCTCTAAGGCAAATATGACAGCAGTGGGCCCCAGACCCTCAAGTGGCGGCTCCACGGGCAAACAAGTGAACTATGTTTCCTTGTGGTTGAGAGTCATGCCTGATCTGGAATTGCTCTCACCATCTGTGCACAGGATGATTAGGTGGGAATAAAACTACTTTTCATGTTCTTTACAAAAGATAATCTGTGAGAATAGTTTTTTTTTTTTTTTTTTTGGAGACAGAGTCTCGCTCTGCCGCCCAGGCTGGAGTGCAGTGGCATTATCTTGGCTGACTGCAAGCTCCGCCTCCCGGGTTCACGCCATTCTCCTGCCTCAGCCTCCCGAGTAGCTGGGACTACAGGCGCCGCCACCACGCCCGGCTAGTTTTTTTTGTATTTTTTAGTAGAGACGGGGTTTCACCGTGTTATCCAGGACGGTCTCGATCTCCTGACCTCGTGATCCGCCCGTCTCGGCCTCCCAAAGTGCTGGGATTACAGGCTTGAGCCACCATGCCCGGCCTTTTTTTTTTTTTAAATTCCTTTGTTTTGTGAACCTCAGCCTTCTGGTCTTTGAATATACGGTGAGAACAGAGGAGGAAAAAACTCAGCAGCAATACTGAACAATCTCTCAGGGAAAATTGGAGGGCACAGATGATCAGGGAAGGCATGATATCAAGGGAAGGGACTGTTAAATGACGGAGTCACCATGGTTGTTCAGGAAACAGGTCTTGAGAGTGAAACCCTGCCCTGCTGCAGGGCTGGCCTCACGCCATGCTGTGTAACGTGATGTGACCCCAGACCGTGAATCCACCATTTTACACAGTTTCCATCTTAACAGGAGGCTTCCTCTGTATGTTTGGAAAGTAACCACAGCAAACTAGCAAATCAGGGAGAAACGACATGGTAGAACCGAGATCTAGAGAGGTGAGAGTACAGGAAAGAGTTCATGCAGCCAGCCTGAGACTGCTGTCCTTAGAAAGGCCTGCTTACAGGCCTGGCCCCAGGCTGGTGTCTAGAAATGTGGGTTTGGGGAGGGCCCCCACCATTCCCAACAAGTGGGATAAGAGTGGCTCACTGTGTCAAACTGCACAGCACAGTGTGGTTTATGCTGGATACCTGTAACCTCTCTGCCAGTTGGTCCCTAAAGCCTGTTTCCACCTGGACTGGCTGCCTTCACTGCCTCTTGGAAACCCATCATCCTGACATCTCTTTGTCATACTGGGTCTTTGCTTCACCTTTCTCGGCAGGTGCATCTGCTGTTTCTTGGAGACCAGGCCTTTTCTTTCTTGGTTCATTCATTCATTCATTTGTTCATTTGTCCATTTATTTAATTTTAAAAATTATTTTTATTTGTTATTATTATTTTTTGAGGCGGGACCTCACTCTGGTACCCAGACTGGAGTGCAGTGGCATGATCGTTGCTCACTGCAGCCTTAACTTCCTGGGCTCAAATAATTGTTCCACCTTGGCCCCCCAAGTAGCTGGGACTAGAGGTGCATGCCACCATGTGCGGGTAATTTCTGTATTTTTTGTGCAGATGGGGTTTTGCAATGTTGTCTAGGCTGGTCTCAGGCTGATTTTTTTTGAGTCACTGATTCAATCTCTTTACTTGTTAGAGGTCACTAATTCAATTTCTCTACTTGTTAGGGGTCTATTCAGATTTTCTGTTTCTTTTTGAAGCAGTTTTGGTAGCTTGGGTCTCTGTAGGAATTTAGTCATTTTATCTTGGTTATTTAATTGTTGGCATATAATTGTTCATAGAATTCCCCTGTAATCCTTTTTATTTGTACATGCTCAGCAGTGATGCCTTCCCTTTCAAGGTTTTTATTTGATTAATTTGAGCCTTTGCCCCTCTGGTCAGTCTGGTTAAGATTTGTCAATTTTTGTCTTTTCAAAGAACTAACTTCTGATTTCATTGATTTTTCTCTTTTTCCTGTTGTATATATTTTGCTTATTTCACTCTAATCTTTACTTTTGATTGGTTTGATGTACTTGTCTTTTTCCAGTTTTTTAAGATGGTTATTGATTTGAGATCTTGTTTTAATGTGGACATTTATACCTATGAATTTCTAAGTACTGCTTTAGCTGTATTCCATAAGTTTTGATATGTTAATGTTTTCATATATCTCAAAGATTTTCTAATTCCTTTTTTTTTCATTTTTGAGTTGTTACTTTGGAGTGTTTATTTGATTTCTACATTTTTTGATTTCTCATTTCTTTTTGTTATTAATTTCTGATTTTATCCTATTGTAGTTAGAAAAAATAATTTGTATGGTTTCAGTCATTTGAAATTCTTTTCTTGAAATTAAAAACATTTTTTTTGAGACAGAGTCTCACTCTCTTGTCCAGGCTGGAGTGGAGTGGTACAATCTTAGCTCACGGCAACCTCTGCCTCCTGGGTTGAAGCGATTCTCGTGCCTCAGACTCCCAAGTAGCTGGACTTACAGATGTACACCACTACACCTAGCTAATTTTTCTAATTTTAGTAGAGATGAGGTTTTGCCACATTGCCCAAGATGGTCTCGATCTTCTGCCCTCATGTAATCTCCCTGCCTCAGACTCCCCAAGTACTGGGTTTACAGGTATAATCCACCATGCCCGGCTTGAAATTTATTGAGGCTTATTTTTGTGGCCTGGCATGTGGACTCCTGGATAATGTTCCATGTATGCTGGGAAAGAATCTGTAAGCCAGGCCCAGTGGCTCATGCGTGTGATGCCATCCCTTTGGGAGGCTGAGACAGGATTGCTTGAGCCCAGGAGTTCAAGACCAGCCTTGGCAATGTGAGACCCCATTTCTACAAAAAAATAAAAAAATTAGTTGGGTATGGTAGCATGTGCCTGTGGTCCTAGCTAGCTACATGAGACGCTGAGGCAGGAGAATCTCTCCAGCTTGGGAGGTTGAGGTTGCAGTAAGCTGAGATCGTGCCATTGCACTCCAGCTTGGGTGACAGAGAGAGACCCTGTCTCAAAAAAAGAAGAATCTGTATTCTGATACTGTTTGTTTGAATATCTTATAGATGTTTGTTCTAGTTGGATTATAGTGTTATTGAAGTCTTTTATTTTCTTGTTGAGCCTCTTTCTGGTTTTTAAAATCCATTAAGGAATGTACATATTGAAGTTTCCAGTTAATACTGGTGAATTATCTATTTCTCTCTTCAGTTGTCACTTTTTGCTTCCTGTATTTTGGGCTCTGTTCTTAGATGCATATATGTTCATAACTGTTACTATTGTAACAATTATTTACATTAGGTATATCTCCTAATACTATCCCTCCCCCCTCCCCCCTCCCCACAATAGGCCTCGGTGTGTGATGTTCCCCTTCTTGTGTCCAAGTGATCTCATTGTTCAATTCCCACCTATGAGTGAGAACATGTGGTGTTTGGTTTTCTGTTCTTGCGATAGTTTGCTGAGAATGATGGTTTCCAGCTGCATCCATGTCCCTACAAAGGACATGAACTCATTCTTTTTTATGGCTGCATAGTATTCCATGGTGTATATGTGCCACATTTTCTTAACCCAGCATGTCACTGATGGACATTTGCGTTGATTCCAAGTCTTTGCTATTGTGAATAGTGCTGCGATAAACATACGTGTGCATGTGTCTTTATAGCAGCATGATTTATAATCCTTTGGGTATATACCCAGTAATGGGATCGCTGGGTCAAATGGTATTTCTAGTTCTAGATCCTTGAGGAATTGCCACATCGTTTTCCACAATGGTTGAACTAGTTTACAGTCCCACCAACAGTGTAAAAGTGTTCCTTTTTCTCCACATCCTCTCCAGCACCTGTTGTTTCCTGATTTTTTCATGATTGCTATTCTAACTGGTGTGAGATGGTATCTCATTGTGATTTTGATTTGCATTTCTCTGATGGCCAGTGATGATGAGCATTTTTTCATGTGTCTGTTGGCTGTATGAATGTCTTCTTTTGAGAAGTGTCTGTTCATATCCTTTGCCCACTTTTTGATGGGGTTGTTTGTTTTTTTAATGTAAATTTGTTTGAGTTCTTTGTAGGTTCTGGATTTAGCCCTTTGTCAGATGAGTAGATTGCAAAAATTTTCTCCCATTCTGTAGGTTGCCTGTTCACTCTGATGGTAG